GGAGGAGGAAGAGGAGGAGGAGGGGGAGGAGGAGGAGGAGGAGGCGGCGGTCTACATGACCCAGCGAGCAGGCCGACTCCCGGTTAGTTGACCAAATCGGCCGGACTGACTGGCCACGTGCAGTCCAAGTCGCGTGTGTGCGCCTGCCTGTTCCGTTTGCCCCGGGCAGCCGTCTGGTACGTCGGGAGTTGCGTTAGTGTTGGCCGCCGCGCCAGCCACAGACCCACCTCGGGCTCGGCGAGATCACAGTTCACACGCGGGCCAGGCCTCAGAGGCCGAGACGACCGACGTGTCAGTGCGTCCGCGCGGCTAGACCACCGAGTGGACTGGGCCTCGGGGTGCGCTGCACCCAGGCCGGAGACGACGGACGCACGGACGCGCGGACGCGCCGTCCGATGCATCCTCCCGACACACCGACAGACACCGGCATTCCTCGACGGTGCATGTACGCCGGAGCCGGTGACCAGACGACCATTAGCCACTGGCACTGAGTGAGCAAGCCATCAGATCCAGTCGCCCTCGCCGGCTATGTCCAATTTGTATGTCTAGCCCCTTGCGTCTGATCCCAATTCACGCACACACACACACACACACACACACGTTACGCTCTACGTCCAGACGAGCCTATCAAGTGCCAGTCCAGCACAGACCACTTGGGTGTCTGTGTGCTGGGGTGAACGACAGTCACATCGTGAGGTAGGACTGGGTGGGGTCACCTCTCAAGAGGGTTCAGGCCAAGACTGGGAACAGAGCGAGTCGAGAGAACGTGTGACACGAGTGGGTCCGAGGTTGGCGCTGTTGTGTCCGCCCTCCGGCGTCAAGTGTCTGTGCTGCCGATCCTCTGGCCCCTTGTGGGTCTATCGGTGGGGAGGGGGCAGCTCTGATTCCACTGCGACTAACCCACCATCAGAGGGCATGAGTCAGCCTTGGTCGGTTGGCTTGAGAGACGGAGTGAGGCGGAACATTGTGGCACGATTGAACACATCGAAGGCAAAGTGGGCTGCAAGCAACTCGTGATATGGTCGTACCGGAAACGGAAGGAGGATTGACTTCAACGAAGTGAAGACTGTTGGATTGTGCTCACTCTACTGCGACAGCGGTGAGCTCATGCTAACTTCTCGTCTGTGCCGCCGTGACAGACATCATCCGATCAAAAATCTATACTCCACAAAATAGAGCAAACATATACCAAACCTTTTCTTTTGGTCTAGGCTATTTGTGGTCTATTTCGTAAAGTATAGCTTCTTGCTATGAAAATGCATGTCACGGCAGTACAGACGAAAGCTTAGCGCAAGCTCATCTAATTCGCAGAACGGCGAGCCGATGATTTCATTGTACAATACATCATTCATTCGTACGCGGCAATCTTCTTTCGCTTTCCGGTTAGACAACATCACGAATTCCTTCCAGCCAACTTTTCCTTCGAAATGCAAAGTCATGTCACGAAGGCAGTCATGGAAACTCACTTTTTCTTCATGTTATTGAAACAGAATGTGGCAAAATGTGCGAAATGCTTTCTCGTCTGACTACCGTTGACAGCTGGCCTCATTGGTACCAACGCCGCTAGCGGGACACGAGCTCATTGTCTTCGATAACTCTGGACAAGGTGGATAGACGGAATTTCTAAAATGGCCACACCGGAAACGAGCTCATTGTCCTGGAACTTGGATACGTGCTACCGCAACAGGCCTCATCCGATATGAAGAAAAACTGGGTTTCTAAAACTGTCGCATTAGAGTCCGGAGGAGGACTTGAGTGAAGAAAGTTAAATTGCGCGAAGAAATTTTAGGTTCACGGTCCGACGACCTCAGTAAACTTGTGCTCAGCTTTCGTCTGTACCACCATATCAGAGCAAGAATCCATACTTTACGAAATAGCGCAAAAATATGCTAAGCCTAGAGAAACTGCGGTCGGCTGTAAATGAAGTCACTTTTTTATATGCCCTTCCTTGAGATCTCAATGAGGCATCCCATAAATTGATTGGCTACCTCAAACTTATTCTACAAGAAGTGGATTCAGTAGCAACTGTTTACTTGCGTACATAAACTA